TTTCCACATTGTATTCACATAGTTTGACTTTCATTTCCTCACAGACACATGGTATAGGAGTAGGGATTCTCCACCACAACCTTCTAGATTCTCACAATCAGACCCTTTTCATATACTTAGCTTTCACGAGTATATGAGTCATGACAGTTTCACTATGGACTGTTATTACTTAGAGGGTCTTGAACATACACTTATCTCTTACTCAGAGATTATAACACTTAAAATATCTGACTGGCATAAAAAGAAATAGTTTGGCATGTCTACAGCATAGCTCTCATGGTGTTATCATTCAAATGCTGGTAACTGTTTACACATTGTTTCCTTGTCTTTATTTTTCACAGGCATACCTTGCAAACACATAATATCTACCTGACACAGAGGTAGATGATTTTATGACAAATTAAAAATCATCAGGAAATGTTAAGCTGTGCTTATTTACACTGTTGCTTTTCTGTAAAACTTCCAGTACCCATTACATTTTCTTCAGAGTCAAATTTACATAAATTTGCCCATGAAAATTTCCTCATAAGCCTTCTAGAACTCTGATAATGTTCTTCAATATTATGATCTTCCCAACTATAGCCTAAATTACAACACCAGAAAATATATGACATGCAACAGAAAATTGGTATTTAGGGCATCTGTCACCATCTACCAGCAGGGTTTTAAAATGTAAACACATGTCTTTAACCTAGATCTTTGGAGGTGATAAAATCCCCCTTTACCAACTTGGTGTTGATGCACAGCTTTAATCCCAGCACTCAGGAGGCAGGAGCAGTTGGATTTCCTGAGTCTGATGCCTGCCTGCTCTACAGAATGTGATGAAAGTCTACATAGAAAAATAAAAATTAATGATGAGAAAAAATCCATCTATAATCTGGTCACACCTTTTCGTGACAGTGTACATAAATAAGGGAAATTGAAGAAGGAGAGCTCTCTCTCTTTGCCTGCTCACCCTGGCTCTGGCTACTGAGTTTATTCCTTTCATAGCTGTAGAGCCTAATTCGTTGAAATATTCGTGTACACAGAACAACACCTGAGACATCCAGACACAGACACCAAACAACTACTGGACTCTTCAATTTCCATTGCTACACACAGCCATTGTTGGACCAGCTGGGCCACAGCCTGTGAGACATCCTAATAAATCCACTTTCTACAAACACAGAGAGACTCATTCTACCAATCCTGTTTAAGCAGAGAACACTGGGTGATGCAAGAAGTTTCTTACCCATCCACTGAGGAAGATGTGCTGCTCAGCATAGTGCTCTAGAAGGTATTCTTCCTAGCCCCATTCTCTCTGAGTTTTCAACTTACCAAGAATACTATACTTTTCATTTTTATTCTTTTCTCAGTTCTCCTGAACTCAGTCAGAGGCCGCAGAACAAACATCTTATTTTTTTTTCTTTGGTTTTACAAGACAAGGTTTTGGAGGCTGTCCTGGAATTCAGTCTGTAGACCAGGCTGGTGTTGAATTCATAGCAATCCACCTGCCTCCACCTCCCCAATGCTGGGATTAAAGGCACGTGACACCAATACCTAGCAAAGACTACACTTTTTATTATTATACATTTCTCAAAATTTGACCTGAATTTTAGGGATAAAACTCCCAATGTAATGGAGCTATCACCCAGTCTTCTGGCAGGAGAAAGATATATCATCTTGTTTGTGGTTTTGTTCCTGAATTTCCCTCATGCTTGTCTGAGGTGCCTTTGACTACTGGGTAAAAAGTAGAGTCAGTTCTCCTGACCTCCTCCTCCTCCTTCTTCTCCACCTCCTATGCCTTCTCCTCCTCCTCCCCTTCCTCCTCCTCCTCTTCCTTCTTCTTCTTCTTCTTCTTCTTCTTCTTCTTCTTCTTCTCTCTTCTTCTTCTTTGTTTTTATACACAGGGTTTCTCAGTGGCTTTGGAGGTTGTCATACAACAAACACTTGTTGACAAGGTTGGCCTGGAACTCACAGAGATCCACCTGCCTCTGCCTCCCAAGTGCTGGTATTAAAGGCATGTGCTACCAATGTTCAGAACAAACACATTCCTCTGTGTCATAAAAATCTCTATTTTTTAATACCCTGGGCTCCCTTCCATCTGGTGAATGAGAGAATCATTCCAGTCCACACTGTGTCATGGTCTGTGCAAGGTCGGCATGTGGTGTGGAGGAGGAGGAAGAGGATGAACCTGTGAATTGCAGGAGGAGAGCTAGTTCATCTCGTGGAGACAGGGGTGAGTGATATTGAAGTGTGTGTCCAGGGCTAGGGACCCCTGTGGTGTGTCTTTAAGCACACTCTCACCCTTAGGGAAGTGCTCTTGTCACTCAAGCCTCACCAGCCAATCAGGGACACAAGAATAACCTGCCAGTCACAGGTCTGTCAGGACACTTCTGGAGCCATGCTGCAGGCTTGGATATATAGCAGGACAGGCACCAGGGGATTGATTGCTGTGCTTTGAGTGCTGCTGTAGGGGATGTGAGAGGAGCCCAGATGAGCACAGAAGCCACAACATGGTGAGCGAGGGGATGCTCTCCCAAGATGCAGATGCATGGGAGACAGTGCAGCAGGTCCTCCTGGAAGGAGGCTGGGTGGGAACCTGCAGCCACATTCAGTGCTCTGTGAGGTCCCATGGGATCCTAACAAATCCCCAGGCCCTGGTGTTGGGATATGGATAATTCACTCTCTGGGCTGCATCTGTGAAAATCATTCGGGGCTTTGTGTAGAAATGTCTTTGCAGTCAAAACCAACGAGCTCTTGGTGCATGCTGAAGGCAAATTGTCAAACTTGAAGCAACTTAGTTTCTCTATTGTCTTCTAGATTCTCTGTACTTTACATTTGACATTTAGGTGTAAGATCAATTCGGAATTTATTTTGTGGATGGTGTAAATAGCATTCATGTTCTTTCTTTTTTAATACTTATTTATTTTTGTTATTTTGAGACAGAATTTCTCTCTATAGCTTAAGAGTCTGCCCTGGAAGTTGCTCTATAGAGCAGGCTAGTTCCAAAGTCACAGAGATCTTCCTGCCTCTGACTCCAGAGTGCTGGGATTAAAGGCATGCACCACCAGTGCCTGTCTCTTTCTATTTATTATATATATATTTAATGATTTATTTATTTATTATGAAAACAACATCCTTCCTCCATGTATGTCTGCACACCAGAAGTGCACACAATATCTCATTGTGGATGGTTGTGAGCCACCATGTAGATAATGGGAATTGAACTCATAACCTCTGGAAGAGCAAGTCAGTGCTCTTAACAGATGAGCCATCTCTCCAGCCCCTGTTTTTTATTTTTTTATTTTTTGGAGACAGGATTTCTCTGTTTAGCTTTGGAGTCAGACATGAAGATTGCTCTGTAGAGCAGGCTAGCCCCAAACTCATGGAGATCTGCCTGCCTCTGCCTCCCCAGTGCAGGGATTAAAGCATGGGACACTAAAGACCTCTGTAATGGCATTCTCATGTTGGATTGCACTATTAAACTGTGATGTTGAAGAGTAGAATTGTTGATATAAAGGATTTACCAATTTTTAGGGAATGGTAAATCCTGCAAAATAGAATTTACCTGAGCAAGGTTTGACTCTAAAATAACCCGAAGATAACTGGTATGCTAATCAGGTCTGTTAGAGGTTAGGTTGCTAAAATATGCATTTGTTCTCCAGGATTGTCCAGACATTTGGCTCCAAACCTTGACAAATGAGAAACCCCTGATTTACAAACAGGCCCAATGCCCATCCCCACATCACAGAACAGAGCTGTTGTTTTTTCTTTTTCTTTTCTTTTTTTTCAGTCAGGCTTTCTCTGTGGCTTTGGAGGCTATCCTGAAACAAGCTCTTGTAGATCAGGCTGGTCTCTAACTTACAGAAATCTGCCTGCCTCTGACTCCTTTGTGTTGGGATTACAGGTGTGTAACACCAACACCCAATGGCTCTCTGTTTAATCATCAACACATCAGGCCATTAGGGAAAGCACAGAAGTCCTAGGCCCCAGGCTGTCAGTAGCTCTCCCAGGAATGATCCTCCTCCCTGCCTGAGGGCCTAAATGAAATCCTTGATTGATCAGGCAAGTCCTTAACACAACAGTGTTTTATGTTTCAAATAGTTGTCACCTGGTGTTTTATTGTGCATCATCAATTGAGTGACCTCCTGAGTTTGTTCCAATGTGTGATAAGTTCTGATGACTACCTAGAAATTTCTTCTTTCAGTCTGTTTCCTCTGGGAAGTCTTATACAAGAAGCAATTCCTCAGCCAGGCATTGACTGGTGCACTTCTCTAATTCCAGCAATCAGGAGGCAGAGGCAGGTGGATCATCTGTGAGTTCAAGGCCAGCCTCGTCTACAAGACAGCCTCCAAAGTCACAGAGAAACCCTGAATCAAAAATCCCTCAAAAGAAGTGATTCCTCTTAAGAAGCTGACTTAGAATAAGACGCAGATTAGGCAAATCCTCCATGCCCCAGGATGTAACCACTCAACACCATCAGTTCCACATCTGTCTGCTAGCTGCCATGACCCTTCCCATGATGATGATTAAGTGAAACTCTGAAATTTTAAGTGAGACACCGCAAATAAATGTTTTCTTCATAGGTGTCTGTTCACAGCAATAAAAATCTATAAAAGATAGAGGTTAGAACCAGGGACTTGGGTATTACTGTCATAGGCTGGCCCTGTCATACAATTTCTCAGATGTGTTCTCAGCAGTGTTGGTCTGCTGGCTTGCTTCTCCCTTTATGTCTGTTGACTGGGATTTCTTTCTCAAGTCTATATGCTACTTAAAGAGCCAAGAAATGTTGCATGGGATCCTCCTAGACTGTTTCCTGCTAAAGTCACAGGGTGAATACATTTTAATGTCCATGTCATGGAATAAGTGTGGGAAGCACCAGAATTATTTGAACACACACTCAATCTCACACACACACACTCACACGTGTGTATGTATGTATGTATGTATGTATGTATGTATGTATAGTGTATGTATGTATCACACTTCCTGTGTTACACATGTGTGGTTTGTTTTAGGATGCAGTAACCTATGATGATGTGTACATCAGCTTCACTCAGGAAGAGTGGGCTTTGCTGAATCCTTCCCAGAAAAGTCTTTACAAACATGTGATGCTGGAGACCTACAGGAACCTCTCTGCCATAGGTGAGACTGAATTTTCCTTCATGATTTAAAATAAGGGGAAGTCTGTTTCATTGCTGTTGATGCTCTTCTTTAATTTAGATTGAGAAAATGGAAACTTAGGTGAATAATGCATAGTTCTAGTGATCATTGACTGATATTAACTTAAATTTGATGCAATTTCCTTTGATATTTCATGTCTTTTCTGGTGTTGTATTTTAGGCTACAAGTGGGAAGACCATAACATTGAAGACCATTGTGAGAGTTCTACAAGAAATACAAGGTAATTTTCATGTAAAGCTCATTCAAATTTGTATTACACTCCATTGAGATCTGTGCTGTAGAAATGCCAATCCTTTTAGTTTCATACCTCTCAGATATTTTAAAACAGTATACACATTGAATAGGTGATATGTTTATGTCCAAGAACTTTTTTGTTTGTTTTTTGTTTTGTTTTTTCGAGACAGGGTTTCTCTGTGGCTTTGGAGGCTGTCCTGGAACTCGTTCTGTAGACCAGGCTGGCCTCGAACTCACAGAGATCCGTCTGCCTCTGTCTCCCCAGTGCTGGGATTGAAGGCATGTGCCATCAATGCCCGGCGTCCAAGAACTTTTAAGGAAAAAAGATTCTACAGTGAAGCAATCATTACTAATATATTTGTGAGTTTGCTAAGTATATTGAAAGGGTCAGACTGTGAGTGTCAAGAAAGTTGTTTTGGAGGAACCATAATCTCTATATGACCTTCTCTGAGGAAAAGAAAGCCAAATTGTGGGAATGAACTGTGCAAACAATTTATTTATTATCATTCCTTTAGTAAGAGTATATTGTCCAATGGGGCTCTATTAGTGCATTCCTTTAATTCCACCACAAAGTAGGAATAAGTGGCTGGATTTCTGTAAGTTGGAGGCCAGCCTGGTCTACAGAGTGCATTCTAGGGCATAATCCAAAGCTACACAGAGACTCCTCTCTCAAAAAAACCATGAAAAAATGAATATCACATATCACTCTAAATATAAGCTCTGTGAGCATAGAATATGGAAAGCAGCAATGTGGCTCCCCCTCACTCTTGGGGCAACTCCAAAATGTTAATGTTATTTAGCAGTTCCCCACCTTGAGTATCTATGGTAAATTTGATACAAGATTACAATTAATTGGATTTCCAACTTCCTTGGGAAAACATCAATGAACTCACACTGCTGAACAGTCTAGGAATATATATATATATATATATATATATATATATATATATATATATGTTCAATTGTCCTGGTTCATTCAGCTAATGAAATATAATTCAAAATACAGGAAAACTTATGAATACACTAATTGTGAAAAAGCTCTGAGTTCATTCAGTCCTTCTCAAATAAGTGAAAATCTCACATAAATAAGATTCCATACATGTGAGACATGAAATAAAGGCTCTAACTCTCTGCCACAGGTATCTTCATAGCCACAAAGCAACTGCTCATGAATGGAAGCATCATGAATATAAAACTTAAGAACTGATTCATCTCTGCAAATAGGCAAAATTTTAAATTCAATGTATATATACATCATGGTTAATCAGTAAAATGGAAGTGGTAAATCTTTTATATGTTCCAATTATATTTGCAGGAATGAAAGAACCCATCCAGGACAGAAAACTCTGTGAATACACTCAATGTGTCAAAACCTTTGTGTGTTACAGATGTCTTCAAAGACATGAAATCATTCACACTGGAGGGAAACCATATGAAGTTCTTCAAAAAGGTGGAGTCTTTGCATGTCACAGTTGTGTCAAACTCCATAAAATAACAGGTGCTCAAGAGACAGTCTATGAATGTAATCAACATGGTAAAGCTTTTTCACAACACAGCAGTCTCATAAGTCATGAAACAACATATATTAGAGACAAACAGTATGAATGCAATCAGTGTGGTAAAGCTTTCTCTCTTGTCAGTGGTCTTCAATATCATAAAAGAACACACAGTGGAGAGAAACTCCACAGCTGCAAACAATGTGGTAAAAGTTTTTCACGGCTTAATCACCTTGAAGTACACCAAAGAACACACACAGGAGAGAAACCCTATGAATGCAATCAGTGTGGTAAAAAGTTTGTAAGTCATAGTCATCTTAAAAGTCACAAAAGAACACACACTGGAGAGAAACCCTATGCATGTAATCACTGTGGTAAAGCTTATATAAGTCATAATGATCTTAAAATACATAAAAGAACACACACTGGAGAGAAACCTTATGCATGTAATCACTGTGGTAAAGCGTTTGTAAGTCATAGTGATCTTAAAAGACACAAAAGAACACACACTGGAGAAAAACCCTATGCATGTAATCACTGTGGTAAAGCTTTTATAAGTCATAGTGGTCTTAAAAGACATAAAAGAACACACACTGGAGAGAAACCCTATGAATGCAATCACTGTGGTAAAGCTTTTATAAGTCATAGTGATCTTAAAACACATAAAAGAACACACACTGGAGAGAAACCCTATGCATGTAATCACTGTGGTAAAGCTTTTGCAAGTCATGGTCAACTTCATGTACATAAAAGAACACACACTGGAGAGAGACCATACAACTGCAATCAATGTGATAAAACTTTTTCACGCAACAGTCATCTTCGCATGCATGAAAGAACACACACTGGAGAGAAACCCTATGCATGTAATCACTGTGGTAAAGCTTTTATAAGTCATAGTGATCTTAAAACACATAAAAGAACACACACTGGAGAGAAACCCTATGTATGTAATCATTGTGGTAAAGCATTTGCAAGTCATGGTCAACTTCAAGTACATAAAAGAACACACACTGGAGAGAGACCCTACAACTGCAATCAATGTGATAAAACTTTTTCACACAACAGTCATCTTCGCATACATGAAAGAACACACACTGGAGAGAAACCGTATGAATGTAATCAGTGTGGTAAAGCCTATTCACATGCCAATAGTCTTAAATATCATAAAAGAACACATACTGGAGAGAAACCTTATGAATGCAGTCAATGTGGTAAAGTCTTTTCACATGCCAGTGGTCTTAAATACCATAAAAGAACACACACTGGAGAGAAACTGTAGGAATGTAATCAATGTGGTAAAGCCTACTCACATGTAAGGAGTCTTCAATATCATAAAAGATCACATACCTGAGACTGACCACATGAATGAAACCAATGAGGTAAAGGGTAAAGCCTTTGTAAGAAAACACACTGAAGAGAAACCCCTTAATTGTAAGCAGTGTGGTAAAGCTGTGGACTCTGCATAACTTAATAATCTATGTGGTTATGAAAAATTTAATACTGAAGGAAATCTTGGTATAAAGGATTTGGTAAGATCTTCAATGAACACATTTAGTTACACATCATTCTTCAGGGAAAATATTCTGACAAGGGTCAACAATCTGTTTAAGCATTGTGATGTCTGTTGTGTTAGCACCTGCAAACTCCTACGAATTCAATGATAATGTAACCCTTTTTGTTTCATGCTTTTCTTTAAGAACATAAAAAACAACTCAGATCAGTTGATTTCTCTAAATTCATTCCTGAGTGTTTGCTTTCTGTTACATGAACCAATGCATGATGAAGGGAAACTGTTAAGACTTTAAATGCCTCAACCACTGGGATACAGGAATGAGTGAGTATGAGAGAAAATCTTCACCTGTGAAAATCTGTTTGGTTAGAGAATTGATTGAATTCAATTATGTGATGTCAGTGTTTGGGATTGTGACAGGTGTTGTATGTTCCCAAGAAGGGTAATCACTGGTGTTTTTCAGTAGCAGAAACTACAGAAAGTTCTGAAAAAACCTGATGTAGCTCCTGGTAATGAACATGTTATAATTTTGCTCATCCATATCTCTAACACTGTTCATATTTTAAATCCTTTTTGTATCACCGTGATATCAGTTAATGGGGAAGAAATCATAGAAGTGAAATCCATATTCATGTAAACTGTTTGGTAGAGACTTTAGAATTTATACTTGTGTTCATTTTCAATAAAATGTTTTTTCATGTGAAGATGGATGTCAATGAGTTCACTGGACCCAAGATAAATAATTAATGGGTCTTTTACTGGGGAACAACTTATACAGGTAATAAAATAAAAGAGGCATTGAGGCATCCCTGCTCCAGAATATGCAATCTGTGCCCTTCTGAGACTGTCAGAATCTGAGAGAGAGAGAGACAGAGAGAGAGAGACAGAGACAGAGACAGAGACAGATAGACAGAGAGAGAGATAGAGAGCTGGCAGAACTCTTCCCAGGTCTGAGAGAGAGAGATGGAGAGATAGAGAGAGAGAGAGAGAGAGAGAGAGAGAGAGAGAGAGAGAGAGAGAGAGAGAGAGAGAGATCCTGCTGATCTCTTCCCAGGTCCTTTGATGAGTTTTTTTTTTTTTTTTTTGGTTTTTCGAGACAGGGTTTCTCTGTGGCTTTGGAGGCTGTCCTGGAACTCGCTTGGTAGTCCAGGCTGGTCTCGAACTCACAGAGATCCACCTGCCTCTGCCTCCCAAGTGCTGGGATTAAAGGCGTGCACCACCAACGCCCGGCTCCTTTGATGAGTTGTAAGCAATGATAGAGATAACTATTTCTCACAGTTGGAAGACAGGGGACTTTAAGGTTGAAAAGCTGCATTCCATGGTTACCTTCTTCTGTTACTGGAGTTAGGAACAGAGCCTGTGCCCTGGCTGCCCTAACCAGCCAGACTCAGTCAATCATCCTGAGGAAGCCAATTAAATGAACCAACTTATCTAGTGACACACCCATCTATAATGCATGCACTCTGTAGTCTAGATGGACAGACCTCTCTGATGTCCTAGGACACCATATTCTATAGTGTGAGTTATAGGCCAGAGAGGGAGTCACAGTAATGCTATTCTTAAAAGAAGAGAAGAAAAATGACATAAAATGTAAAATGACAAATTAATAAAAATTTAAAACATTTATTCAGGTTGACTAAATAAAGGAAACATTACTGGGATGCTAATGGGCTGAGATAGAAGGCAAATATGTGCAAAACTAAATAATGAAGGGAAAAATGCATTTTCCCATCTCTAAAACACCCCCAAATTCTCAGTTACTGTTTATCATATAATGTAGTCAGATAAAGGTAAATGTTTCTCCAATAGAGACATTCTCATTTGGAAGACTCAAGTCTTTTCCCACAATGAGATTCCCCAGGAAAATATTTTCTTTTTGTTTTTTGAGGTAGGGTTTCTCTGTATATTTTTGGAGCTGTCCTGAAATTTGCTCTGTAGACCAGTATGTTCTCAAACTCACAGAGGTCACCCTGCCTATGCCTCCCGAATGCTGGGAATAAAGGAATGCACCAGCAATGCCCCACAATAAAGTATATTTTTATGGGTTTCACTAACTGAAGGTCAATAGTAGACCCCATGAAGATGACTTATAGTCTCCACATAACTGTCATAGTCTAAAAGCCTGTAATTACATTACAGACTCACACATATAATGGAAATTATTTTGTTTTATTTTGAATAAATCTCTTTGCCATGACATTATAAAGTCTCTCTGGATAATCCCTTTTAAGGCAGTACTTCAAGAGGAAGTGAATCTTGGGTAAATAATGGGGACTTGAAGAAGCATGGGATTTATGAATAGTAAGTATTTATGAACATATCCATTGCACATGAAGATGTGTTGTGAAATAATGACATGGACCACAATTGCTGATTGACAAAGTTCCAGCATTTCAACACTTCAGATCAACCTCACTTCTCCAGCACCTACAGTGGCAGGCAGATCTCCGTGAGCTCCAGGTCAGACTGGCAGAATGAGTTGCAGGACAGGCAAAGCCACACAGAGAAACCATGTATCGCAAAAGGAAATGAGCTCCAGCTTTAGCTGCTTGTTGCCTGTGCACATGTTTAACCCCAGTGCTCAGGAGGCAGAGGCAGTCAGTGTTTCTGCATTTCAGGCCAGCCAGGTCTTGATGGTATCTATAAAAATCCACCTATCATCCCTTTTGTATACATAAATCTATATTTAGTAAATATTCTCGGCATTCTTTCAGCCCTTTGACAAAGAATCACTCTACCACATAGCAAGTATAGGAGGCTATACAATCTAGCTAGTCACACTGTGTCCAAGAGGAAGAAGACGAACTGCCTTTGGAGAGCAGGAAGATAGCCATGTTGGCTGTTGGAGCTAGAGGCAAGTGCTTTAGAAATGCAGATCTCTGCTGACTTGGATAAAGACTTTGCCTGGGATGGAAGGCAGGGTCAGGAAATATTTTGCTGTGTCTTTAAGTATTTTGTAACCCTGTGAGAGGTGAGCTCATCACCCAGTCCTTACTAGCCATTCAGGGTCCTAGGCATTCTGCCTGTTAAAATTGATGCAGAGTCCTTCCAGTATCTACCGTCAGGCTTGGCATTGAAAACAAACTGGAGCCAGTGGTTTTGTGTGCTGTGCTTTGAGCAAGGGTGAGCTGGAAAACCACAGCATGGTGTGCAAGGGGCTGCTGTGAGCATACGTGGAGTGGCACATCTTGAGATGCTGAAGCCGGTGTGGGGGGTATTCTCTGGATTACGGGGGAAGCTACAGCCACAATTCCTGTCCCATGAGGTCTCATGCAGTCCTTGAAATGGTCTGGGGAGAGTGACAACAAACTCACCATGGCATGGCTTGCAGTCTCCCTCACAGCTCCTCAGAGCAGAGCAAGAGGAGAAAGAATCCTGTAAAGAACCCATACACCACCTCCTACTGGTGCTCCTGACAGCTAAGCCTTCCCAAAGCATATCATTATTTAAGAAAACCCTGCTTGGCTTCAGGACATCAGCAGTCACCCTACTGTGTGAGTAGGGAAGTAATGACTCAGGCCACACAGGCCTTCCCAGGTTTGACCTTCCTCACTACAGTCAGGCAGGGTCGTGATCTGGAAAATTCTTTTATATGATTATTTATTATGTATACAATGTTCTTTCTGTATAGTGTCAGCCAGTGCTTTTAGCCACTGAGCTATCAATCCAGCCCTGGAAAATTCTTAGTTCAGTAAAAGCCTCTACTCACCCAGAGCACTTCCTGTTCCTCTTCCAAGGCACAGGGTCCTGCATGTGCACATTCATTTATACACTCAATGTCCAGCACAGCCAACAACTTGCTTCATAGCTGGGAGGTCCTGCAACCAAACACAAGTCACATTCAAACATCATCTGTTGTAAAACAAAAAGAGGCCATGGATGAGGACACAAGGAAGGGGCTATGGGATGCCTTGGAGTCAGGAAAGTGACAGTGGAAATAATGTAAATATAATGTCAAAAATATGATAAAAAGTTGAAACAGGCTTTATGGCTGAGTGTTCCAGAGACTAGGGATTTGCATTAGAGCACAGCAAGTACTACTCTTAGCTTATCTCTCAGAGCTATCACCTTAAACATGGAAAAAACAGTCATGTTAGGCAGGGCAGCACCATTTTTATCTGATTTTTTTATTTATAGTGCAATGGCGTAACTACAGGAATTTGGTTTTATGAAAGTTTTGTTCTTTATCTAGGTTTTTGATTGCCTGATCAAGAAAACTAAGAAATGGCCAGTCAGGACATTTATGAACCATCTAAAATTGAAAACCTGAGTCTACATTGATAATGTCAATGACTGTCATAGCAGGAAATCTTTCTTCCTACTTCGTGCCCCTCCCTTTCTGTGCTATGACTATCTCTGCTTTGCAGTTGGTGAATGAATTTGTCACACAGGTTCCAACTTCATTTTAAATTCACAATAAAATCTAGATGGATATTCCTTCACTGGTTATTTTTCCTTCCCAGAGACTATTCAAGGTCCAGCCTGGAAGGAGTTTCATGACTGTCTTTCTAGCACTGGGTAACCGAAGCAAGATTTGTTGTTGAAAGCAATTTTCAATTACATAATATGAGGCAACCTTGAGATACAGCAGACACTGATCAAGACAATTGGTTCTCAACTTTCCTAATGATGTGAGCATTAGAAATTTAAAAATGAAAATTTTAAAATGTCATCAATAATTGATTTTTTAAGGAGATAAATTAAATGAAAGAACACTTAACTTTAGTGGTCTTGAAACAGAGTAGGCACTTGCCTGGGGGAGAATATCATTAATAAGACATTGTATGTCTTTGTCCCATGCAAAATATTAGCTATTGAGTGTTGTAAGATGACACAAGGAGTTACAGCCAATGGTCTGTTCATCAAACCTCTGAGCTGACTTTACTGTATTAACAAGTGCTGCACATACATATGTGCATAGGAGTGCTGCCTAATTTCAAGTTCAATATTCATTGGCTGTACACCCACACTGGTCTGTGTCCATTCACATAACATGAATTAAAACATGCTGGCAAATAACAGAAACATCCTTGGTAGCACAATGATGCCCCATTTCCTTCTGGTGACTCCAGCAGAATGCTGCCCTGTTTTCCTGCAGTGGACACAATGAA